GCAGCTGAACGCAGCCAGTCTCCATTTACAGGGGCTTGGGAGCTTCAGGCACTGGGGATTAGAAGTGGAGTGTTTTATGGGTTCAGAATTTAGGATTCATTGGTTAGGGCGCAGTCTGAAAGGTTTCGGGTCTGATGGTTTTGGAGTTAGAGGTTCAGTTCAGGGTTCAGGTTTGGGGGTTCAGGTCGTAGGGTTTTCGGTTGGGATCTAGGGGTTAGGGATTTAGTGCTTCGGACTTTTGAACTGTGGTGGTTCAGGACACATGGTTCCCTGCACGACGAAGATTGAAGCCTTTTATATGATGGGCTTCCTGGTTCTGCTGTTGTGCCCTTTGCGCATGAAGTTCGGCATCACCACCTGGGTGCACAAGACTCCTCTCAGGATCGTGTTGAGCTTGGCCCTTCCATGCTGAATTGAGTGGACGCTGTTGATACCACATCCTGGCCGAGGTCTAGGGATTCCCGGAACTGTTACGGAGTGCTTTGCGCACCATCTTACAGCAGACAGGTTAAGTTGAACGGTCTGCGGCAGGACAGGGACCCTACATTTCAGCATGGCGGACTACACAGCCAAATGGTAGACTGCTTGCTTCGTCACAAGCAATCCAAGCCCTCGGTTGAGTTCGAATCATGGGTTCGTTGCGGTCGTTGGGCCGGGAACAACAATCATCCTGAAATTATCTCGGAGCCAATGATGTTATACTCATGTATCTGGAGAAGAATGCAGATGGCCAGCTACACCAGCGTGATTCAGTTGAGCCTTTCAGTGCTGATTGCCCTGGGAAGGTGCAAGATGGTGCACTTGGCTCGCGTTTTCAAAGTGCTTGACGTTCGGCTACGCAATGATCGTTGCTGAAGACACAACCAATGCTTTGCGCGCCTTGTTGCTGTCTTTAGATGCGTGCGCGGAATGAAGGGTGGTAATAGCTGGTCAACAAAACCCCAAGCTACCAACCCTAAACCCTAAACCCTAAACTTGGGAAACCCTATTGGCTTATTGCCAAGTGGAGCTGAGCCTCGTGGATCACCAATTAAATCACAGCTCAGGTCCGGCTTTGGGACTGCTCCTCCAGGCTATGGTGCCTTTGCGGATGCATCGTACTGCTACGGGTTCTGAGGAGCGTCTGAGGTTGTTATAGAGGTTGTGGTACATCGAAGTTCTGCCAGATTGTTGAGATGTCTCATAGATGAATAGAGATGCTTGCATGATTGCGTAGTATCAGGATTCTTGGTGTAGGTCTGTTTCAATCTTGATGTTTATTGTATGAACATGTGAGTACAACCCTAGGAGCATTGAAGCCTTGATGTCGGGAAAGGTTCGACCGTTTGAGTTTGGGGGAAAGGGGAATATGGAGTGATGAGGGCATAGGGCCCAGACATTGGGTTCTCAACAGTTTCAAGAGGGTTTTGTTCCAAGTCTTTTCGTATGTCAGTCATATTGAAGTTAATTACGTGAGGATTCCATTTTGTGAGCAGGGTCTTGGGACTGGAGCCTCAGTATCACTCATTTTGTTCGTCGCAGGCTTCGCTGGCTTTCAACAAATTTTACAAAAAGCAGGATGTGAAGGGGCCAGTCAAGTCTATGGTTCAGGCACGTGGGCTATGCCGTTCCTATACATGACAAAAAAGACCTGCGAAAGCTGCATCAGTGTGACATCAATGTGGGATTTGTCAAGTTCAAAGGCCAGCTTTGGGGCCCTCAGAGCATGTCAAAGCAGCATGTGATCCGAGGAGGCCTGTTGGAACTGGAACGATGGGAATAAAGAATAGGGTGTGAGCAAAGCTGAAGTTCTCTTTTGATTCGTAGGAGCCTGGAGCCTCACTTGGTAAGGCCGCATGTCATGATATACCTAGATGGGTGTACGTCTGGTCCAGCCGCTTAAATATCGTAGATGATATTATTCCTTCGCGGTTCCGCAGTCGCAGATGCGGTCCCTCAATGCCGCACCAGCCTGTTTTGGGCTCTTGATTGTACATATTGTCCTGATTTGGCGGTATCCTCTGATCAAAGCGATCCAGATACAGAGTTTGTGCGATTCACTGATGTAGACATTCTTTTTTTTTGCTCTTCAGGACTTTGCCTTACTTACATAAACCCATGGATGGTCCACGGGACTGCTAGCATAAGCTCCGAAGCCCCTAACACCTCTCAACCCCCAAGTCCCGCGCTGAGCTTTAAACCAGCTGAGGCTATAATGGGACCTACCCCTCCTGGCCTCCGGGCAACTGGGGTTACCCGTCCTTGTCGCTCGACAGGTTTACGGTGTGGAGTGTAAGACTTCGGGTTTGGATTGACACGAGCTTCACCACAGCTGGACTTCAAGCATTCTCAAGGTTGTGCTCTTCTGTTTGGAGTAAACCGGGATCTCGTGATTGTCGGCTTCATTTTGTTACGCGGTGTCTAGCTAAATGATGACATTCGGTGGCGCCTTGCAAATCGTTCCTGCAAGCAATACAATGTGCTTGTAGCAATGAGGGACCGTTGTATGTAACCGCAACAAGGAAGCCTTCGGAATCTTCATGTCTTACAGGCATCCAGACATATACTCTCTACAGGAGGTTGTCCTTCCGTTTGGGCATGTGATGGTTGCCCCAGTCTGGTGGGAACATGGTTCTGTTTCTGCATTTTTGGTGAATCCGCTTTTTTTCTCATGGAGAAAGCTTGCTCCAACGTGTGTTTTTTCTGCGAGTTTCTTCTGGCCTTCCTTGCTACATGTCTTCTGCTCGGCCATGCTTGTTGGCGAGCGTATGTCCGCAGCCTCCTTTTGGAACCCAAACAAGTAAATCATACCTCCTAAGCTTTTTCAACACGACATGGTTTTGCGTTCCTTCTGTGGCTCTTTTTTGGGCACTATGTTGTTGAAATCGATCATTCCCGACGCAACAAAACTAGTTGGATAGCCAAATGAATCTGTTCTCACAAGGCTTGCCTGCGCCAGCAGTTCGTACCAAATGCTCCGTTCGGGAAGCGAACCCATATGGGCCCCTAAGGCAAAGAAGGCATGCAGGGTCGAGTCCATGGGCTGTTTTAGTAAGTAGAGTTTTAGAGGTCTGTTTCTAGCGGAATCATATTCAGTTATTTCTACAGTACATGTAGCAGTCCTAGCCCCGCAACCCCAAACGCTTAAAAACTAAGCTTGTATTGCGCGAGCGGAAGTGATGACAACTAGACTTGACAAGCTTCCGACCTCAAAGGCAGCGGATCACGTGTCTAGCTGTATCACAACATGTACTCGTCCGTTGCAAGTGGGGCTGAAGCTTAGGGCGTCAGCAAACACCATTTTGTATGTCTGCTTGCCCGCGTCACTGTTCATTCTCAATGTTTTCCTTCATTCAACCAAAGGACCCTTGCCGTCAGGGGCCCTCAGAGATCAAAGGATTGTTAACAAAAGATGACGCGTCACGACATGATTGGCTGGTGCTGTGTCTGCTTTACGTAAAGCCCGTTTGAACTCCGAGTCTCTACGAGTCTTGAACCATGCAGTGCCATGCAGTCAGCCGGCCTTGGGAGGTCCGGGCCTCCGCATCGCGGCTACAGAGGAAGCCATCGCGATCAGCCTCCCGTTTCGAGTTTTACGACTGTGGGGTTTGGGAATCGAAGACGTTGGGGTTCCGGGGCTGCGGGCTTTTAGATTTTGGATTCAATGTGAAGGGCTCAGTGTTAAGATTGGTGAAGTGCTTGAGCGACACTTTGCGTGACATCTTCCCAAATTTCTCAGATTCTCGTTTCCTGAACATTCATGTTTCAGCACGAGGCACTCGCTGCTACTGTACTGTAACTTCGAAGGCAGAACATATAATCATGTTGTAAGCGGAAGCAAGTGAGCAAATATTCGTGGCAGAGCAAAATCTCAACCAGCATTCTGGGCAATTTGGGACGCGATTGTGATTGCTCGGATTGGAATGTCTGGCCTTAATAATTCCTACCAAGGAATCCCTGAACCATTGGGGTTGGAAGAGTATGGAAGGGAGGACGCCGAGCTGCTGTGGGAAGAGGAGACCTTGGGAGGGATACGATGTGGGAAACCAATTTCTAGGGCAACAAGAGACTATAAACATTGAAGGATAGAAGCAAAAGATGGGTGGCTGGAAGGACGCAAAAATTGGGCAATTTTATGGCTCAGGACTTATGATCTTCCAGAGCTTTGCCTTACATGTTGCACAGATTGTTGGTCCTGGTCTGAAGATGCTTGGGTCAGCAACGTGACCGGATTGAAATTGTTGGCTTTTGACCTCGTAGGGCTGATAACTAGCCTCCCGAACCCTCCTGAAACCCGTAACCTTACACAGATCACTATCACCTCGACCTTTCGGCAGCCCCGGGGTCCCAAAAGTGGAGCTGAGGCATCGTCCAAGTGGCATAACGGTTGCACGCTACAGGCTGCGTTCATCGTCATGAAAAAGCTGGGTGTAGACTTTTTGGGTTTGCCTTCACCGGAAACCTGCTTGCTGGGTACTTGGGGAGTCTGTACGGGACCCGGGTAAAGGACAAAGGGCCTCAGGAATGTCTTCCAATGGTTGATTTGACATAACTGACCATGTGTGCCTTATGTCGGGCAGGTCTGGGGGACAAGTGTTCGGTGCAGTGTCTTTAGAGGATCAAATTTGGCTTTCACGTGCGCAACGCGGTTTAAATTTTCCAGTTGCAGTAAGAAATTGCAGTGAGAGACCCTGGAATGATTGTCCTTGGCGTTGAAGCCCTGCAAACTGATTCCCAACGTTCCTGGAAAGTTCACAGGATGAATTGATTATGTAATTCTACTGGGGGGCATTGTATAATCCCTAAGCCAAGCTCATATTGGTTGCTCCAATCATGTTTCGGGTTCTTACGAAAGATAGCTAGTTGGCGGGTCCTACGAACCTCGAAGTAGTCAAACGCATTCGCTCCTTAAATCTTGCGGGTAAAGTCTGCCTCCAACAGGCCTCAATTTTGGTATCAATCCTGCAGGCTAGAGGAAATCTGGTATTTCTGCACGAACGGGCCCGTGTGGCAACAAGGACCCATAATTTCGGGAAGCCTTTCCTGATGAGCAGATCGTCAACACACAATCCTTCAGGTGCTTTTCTTGTGTGGGCAACGTTTGTGTTCAGACCTACACGACCTCTACAAAAGCGCTACCTTATGGGACTGCTATTGTTCCAGTAACTCTTCTGCTGCCAGTGAAGTACAGCCCAAGGTGTAACAAAGGAGGGAACCAGTGCACAAAAGCAACTGCTGAGTCAATCCGAAAAAGTGATTCGACCCATCTTATTCTGTCATATGCGCTACAGCCCCTGCACGACAAAGATCACAATTCAAGTTTGATCATTTGCAGAGCCTCCCAAGGAAGGCTAGTGAAGACTGTGCCCTGAGTGCCAGGCGCCCTGCACCGACAAATGACTCCAAGGAGGTGTGGGGCCATGTGACGGGGTCATACTGCAGATGTGGTCATTGTCATGAAAACAAAACAATAGTCATGAAAACAAAACATTAAATATGGCATCCGCACCAGTCAGTAGTTCTTAGATGTCGCGTTTGTACCAGAGTGCTATTGGCTGTCGCGGGGTGGTTACTGTTGTGGTTGCAGTGGTCTTGGTGATGGTGTTCGTTGTCTTGTCGGTGGTTGTTGCTGCACGGGGGGCTTGGTCATCAGATTGGTCAGTGATTAAGAAGCTTGAGGTGTGGCGATTATGGCCTTTCCCTGTTTGTTTGCATTCTAGTGCGCTGGCGGAAGTATTGGCAATGCCTTGCTTGTGGATTCCTTGTAGCTGAACAGACAAATGCCTGGATTGGTGCCATTTGAGGCTAGATGCCCGCAGCCTCGGCAAGTTGATTTCTTTCCCACCTCACCCTCCCTGTTATGTACAGTTGTTCCTCCATTGTCTCTGGTTCTTGTGCATGCAAACGGGACTCCGTCCGACTTCTGTATCCATGGTGGTACAAAATCATGTCATCTAAGACCACACTACGTGGCGCATCGAACACTGAGGGCACCTCACAGGAATTACTACAAATCTGGGCACTGCTTTGAGAATCATTAGAAAAAGATTCGTTTTTCTGATTGCGTATTAGGTCTGCAGCAGTCTTGCCTCATCAGGGCAGCCTCGCATTCCTTCGTATCTTAAAGTTCTTAAAGGATCCCCTGACTTTTGAGAAAGACAGCCCAAATCTGAATTCCATCCATTGCTGCCCAAAATCAACCCCAGCCTCTGGACTTTCGGCAGAAGGCTGCGCTTCCGCCAAAAAAAGAAGCTGTTCCGGCTGCAGGCGTGCTTTGCTTCAGTGTTTTACAGGAAAAGGTGGTTGAAGGTTGATGATTGCTTATAGGCAAGTTATGGCGCAGTACATACAGTATTCCTCCCTGACTGCAATCATGGGCCACAGGCTGTCCAGCTAGGGTATGTGAGTTGCCCTTCGGGTTTCAACAGAAGTTCGTGGCCTGGGGGTCTAAAGACGTGGCGGGAGCTCTAGTTTGTTCATTTTGGTGTCCCTGATTTCAAGGGCCTGCTGAGTCAAGCAAGTGTTGTAGGTGCTCTGCAGACTCTACATTTTCAAGCAAGCCAAGCTCGGGGTTCCCAGAAAGCTGACACCGAAGCTTGAGCTTAGCGCCAAGCCTTGTGCGATGATGAAGCCGTTCCAACAGCAGCAACAGCAAAACCGACAACAGCACCACAGCGACAGAATCACCATCATCCTCATCATCAGCATGGTCAGCACGCGAAGAATGCTGATAACCTCAATCTTCCTCACTGCTGACGACCCTAAACCCTAATCCCATGTGCCTTGTTCCCAAAACCCTAATTCTTTGGCCTCTCGCTAAACCCTATGAAACTTAAGCCCTAAACTCTGACCCTTTATTTCAAAATTCCAAAGCCTAAGCAAGCGAGCGAGCAAGGTCCCGGCAAGGAGTCGGCGCCACCAGCAGCTGCACCGTCGGTTGCAGCACTGGAAGATGCGGCACCTGAAGCCCGGGAGTCAAAGGCGGCTGATGTTTTTGGGGTGTAAGTGGTGTAGGGTCTTAGCAGATTAGGGCTGGGTCTTTAGCACTACCAGGCTGATGGTCCGGAATCGTAGGGTTCGCAGATGGGGCTTTCTGAATTGTGCCCGCCTTTCAGCAACGTGGCCACTAGTCTTACGTCTCTTACTGCGCAGTTTTCATGGGGTTCTTGATTTGTTCAAGCAATTAGGGAATTCCTGGTAGCGGGATTCGTGAGCCCTGGTTACCTTTTCATGTTCTTCCCCTTGCTGATTCTGGTCTTCGCTCGTAGAAGCTGTCGTCCATGTCATTTTAGAACCATAGTACAAACTATTCAGTACTCGTCACTCTCAGTGAACACTCTCTTTTTAACTGCTGCTCTTTGATCAGTATCATATATACTCACCAGTCAACGTCATGCCAGTCACTGTTTCTTGGGGGGGGGGGCAGAATTGAGGGTTTTGGGAGTTTTTGGGGTTTCAGGTTTGTCGGAGTGTGTGCATGCAGGGTGCGGTGCACAGGATCGCAGCTTTCTGACATGTTTTTCTCGCGCGGCTGGGGGGGGTTGTTTGGATCAGGGCTTGGATGATGTTGGTTCCTATGAACATATGCGGAATATGTCACTGTGGGGATTATATAGTGTTGTTTTCAGAACAACGATCCGGTGTCTTGTCAAAGCACAAGAGCTGTAGGTGTCCCCCAGGTTCTGACGATAGATCCTGCCTCATAGTACACAAGCTAAACACGGAGCTTGTGTGTGAGGCTGACCCTGAATGAAATTAGATGTTCATGAATGCCTGGATTAGGCCGACATGACGGAAGCGCCCATCATCCATCTACCCAACTGTTCCATTCTGTAGGTCCGTCCAACATGCCTCTCTTGTTGTGAAAACGGGATACTGATAGACTCCCTGCAAGCCCCAGGCCGAAGCTACCATGGAATCCAAGCCAGCGCCACAGGTGCTGGCTTTGGGGTGCTTTGCTTTTGCTTATCCATCCGTATTGGTAGGTTTATACGGGACTGGTGGGACTTATATAAGGATTGCGGGGCTCATGGACAATTCAATCGTTCTTAAGGGTACGGATTATGTAGGGATTCAACAAGCTGTCAAGGATTAGGGTTTCTCCAAATCGGGTTTCTGTGGAGGTTTGGGGTCGCTTTTCTTTTGGTTTCAAGGATTACATGGGGCTCAGGCACTTCTCTAGATATTCCGTGTTTAGACCAAAGTTTTTGTATCAGGGGTGAACATATTCGTAGCCTCTTTGTGGGGGTCCCTGGAAGCTGGGGCCAGAGATTTTGGGTGAATCGCTCAGGGGTAATTAAGGGAATGAGAATCTCGATGCAACAAGGATCCCGCAGTCTAGGAAAACAGAAGAATCTAACTGTAGCTGTGGCAGTGAATGTAGTGGAGTGTATAGAAAGGCCGTCTGTTTGAGACATGCTGTGTCGTGCCGTGGTATATCTGTACACAGGTAGAAACATGCTTACATAGACCCTGGACATAGAATGCCTCTCATTCTAGGTTCGTAGTACATGACCTGTACAAGGTACTGCGGTCTTTGCCGGGCCAGGATGGGGTTCCATTGTTGTTCGGGAGAGGCGCGAGTAGAGTTTTCTCAGTTGATACTGCAACCCAAGCCCCCGGAAGTGCAGGTTTCTGTTGCCGCTGCAGCGGTCGTGGAGACAGCGGACTGATGGAAGAGGTCGAAAATGTTACAGAGTGACGCTTTGGGTGTCAGGGTTCAGGGTTTACTCAGCATTGAGGGTGGCATGGGTGTTCGGATGCAAGGTGAAGGTTAAAGGCTTGTGGACCTCGCTCTGCATGACCTCGAGTACCTTGAATCGTACAGATTATGGCACCATAGTTGTTAAGCGAAATGCAGAATGGGGTCCGTCAACAGCAGGTTTCCAATAGTACGAACATGTTAAGGAACTTTTGGGGAAGGCCAACGCTCATGTGGGTTCAGGGTAGAGTTTTCAATGAATTATTGTCTTGTTTATACGAGTTCTTGCAATAAGAAAACTGTTTTTGGAATACATAGGACATAGGCTGCTCCTAAGTTCCCGAGCTGCCTAGCAGACTGAGCAGAGAAAGCTTCTTTAGCGTGCTTGCCCGCAAAAGTCTCACACGGGTGCAGACAGCCGTAAACCCATCTAGTGCCATGTAGTTGCATGTATATGTATATATATATATGCCTTATTCTTCTCTCTGGTAGAAGGCCCTCTTGGAAAAAGGTCCCATGATTCTGGCACAGACCCGACTTGGAGTTTCCATGAACGGAGGGCCCACAAAGGAAAACACTAAGCAAAGCTCAGTGAAGGGATTCCTTGTATCACGACTCCCCGAAAAGTGCCCCAATCGGACAGTCTAGGAAAGCAGCACAGTCTTCCAAAACTTGACTTGAAGTAGAAAGCTGAGCATTTCTGCGTGTAACGTTCCCAAAGCACTGGGCAAGTCGTTCCCGCTTCAAAGAATTGAATCATGTCAGCTGTCAGGCAGGGCGGTCAAAACTACGCTTGGCAGGGTGCAAGGACGGCACTCTGCTAGCATTGCAGTTTCCGAAAATTGGGGGGTCCTTTTTTGCGGAGTGAAGCTATAAGAGTTCCAACAATGTCAGGATTCTTGTCATTGGTTATCGCCGAAGAGATCCCAATGTTGGTGGTATGGTTTTTGAAGTTCCTCACTTTCTAGAAGCTTTGAGGGAATCCTGCAATTTTTGTGTCTCTCTCTGGGCCCTCCAGTTATTGGAAACTACCACATCTGTTTATCCAGGGGATGGACAGGCTCTGCTGAGGGCCACAGCGTGCTGAAGCGGAGCAAGAGACGCAGCAAACTCCCCAACTTTAAGAAAGGCATGGGGGAATGGATTTAGGTTCAGTTGATTGTTTTAAACCTCATAAAATCTGCCGGGTCCTGGGAGTAGAGGAGCGAGGTCAGGGGTGGTGTTGGTATGACAATGACACAACCTCCCTGCATGCCTTACCCGGTCTCTGTGGAAACGGCTGGAGGTTTCTCACAACTATGGGTTCCTTTTTTTGACCATGTCATTCTGGGTGTAACAAACTTTGAGGCCCTTCACTTACCCGCGAAAAGGCGTTATGCATTCCTGTTTTTTGTCTGATCCAGATGCAGCGCTGCACCCTCGTTTGAGAAACACCCGGTGACAGTCATCTGTAGGGAACTGCAGAGCTTCAGCAGAAACACTTCTCCGGTGCCATGATCGTCGGACCTGACCAAGGGTTTTGGTGTTTGGGGTTTAGGGTTCAGAATTTTCGGAACGGGGGCGTGCCAGGGTTGTGGCCCGAGTGTCAGGGTTTCTATAGGCAGGACACTATTGCTTTGGGGCTATGCCAGTTGTTTTCTCAAGCTGCTCCCAACACGATGTTCAGCAGACCTTTTATTTCCTTGGAAGTCTGCATACATCCACGGGTGGTTTAAGTGCCACTAAGGCTCCCACATTGCTGCCTGAAGCCCTGTCTGTCTGGTTGGGGCAAGAGGCATTCTGTCCCCATCTGCACTTTTGGCTTCGATTTTCCCCAAAGGGGAGGCTCCATACCTAAACAGTAAAATAGTCATTCGGGGGTTCCTTAGAGATAGCCCTGGAAAGGCATTCAGAGGAAGCGCTGGGCTTTGACCAGCAGCGATGCAAAGGTCCAGATTTTGATTCGCTTATTTCCAGAGAAAGCTTCCGGTTCCAATCATAAGCCCTAAACCTTAAACTCTAAACGTAAAAGCTGCTGAGGTGTTTTGTTCCCTACTGATATGCGTAGAAGTCCGTTGAAAGTCGTCAGGCCTGCCAGGAGCTCGCCATGGCGTGTGACGAAAACTGCGTTGCCTCATTCTTTTACGGTCAAGGGTTAGGGTAGCATTCAGGGCTCCGTCAGGGAGAGCTCAAAGAGGCTCCGTAGCCTAACGCTGCCTGGTATTCCCCATCTTCGCTAGGTTCTCTGGTTCTTTGCTTCCGACTGCTTCGTTTTCTATTAAAGATTTGCTCTTGGGATCCGGTAATTGAGTGAGGGTTTCGCAGACACGTCCCGCAACATGGCTCAAACCAAGCCCCACACAAATCGCGGTGACATGTTGTGGTTGGGAAGTGTCCTCAGCAGAAGATAGGTGGGCTCATACCATAAGAGATAGGACACGCTAGGGATTCGTGGTAAAGTCTTTTTCTAACAGTACGAACTAGAAACCCATGAAGCTCATACCATAAGAGATAGGACACGCTAGGGATTCGTTGTAAAGTCTTTTTCAATAGTACGAACTAGAAACGCATGAATTCTGCATGCAGGGTATCATGTGTTGGAGTGCGGGGTCATACCATCATGTTGATTTTCCGCACGTAGACAAGTGCCACCCCAGCAGCGCGCTTCAGAATTCCTAGCACCCAGCCAGTTTCACAGAGGTCATGGGAGTCTTTTTGAATCATGATAACAAGTTCCCGCCCCAGCATTATGCTCCATCAGAGGGCCGATGCTGATTTCTGTCGATTCAGGGATTACTGCTCAGGGAAGCTGCTGCTTGATGGGGGCGTGGTAATTTGGATCCATATTTTGGAGTAAGTGCCTAGGACATTGTCCAGCAGACGCCCCGGAATCCTCAAACGTTGAACCAGAATGATTGCATCAGTTTCACTTGTGTTCTGCTGGTTGTGCCTGCTTCCGTGTCAGCAGAATCTCACCAGGTTTGACTATTTTGCTAAGGAACATGCGGCCCGCAATCCTCTGTCCTGGAACCAAATGACCATATCTGAATTGGGGTTTAGGCGTTTGGCTTGTTGCGAGTTTGGCGGTTCGGGGTCGAACGTTATTGGGCAGCTTGACTTGTAGTGACCAACATGACTGCGTAAGAGAGGTATTGAGCACTGTGTGGACTTAGAACGTCTTATGTGAAGGTTTCTGGTTTGTAGCACCAGGGGGCACTTTGCAGTGGTTTTGCCTCTATTGTCCGATGGGATGGAAGCCGCGCCTCAAGTCGCGTCTCGGGCAGCAAACAGAAGGTCTTGGGGGATCTGGTCTAGGGGTCCAGGGGAATTTTGGATCTTTTTGAATAGAGCCCTGGGATTGATTTAAAGGGGAAGGTCTGGGGTTCTGCTAGGACACCGAACCGAAACACATTGGAAAGGGCTTGAAGCAGGTGCAACACTCAGGCTATCCTGTCTTCAGGATTTCTGCCCTGTAGGCGTTTAACGGTGCTTCAAGATCTTTTTGGGATATTCCGTTTTTGGGTGGGCAACTCTTCCTGACACTAGGCGAGCTGTCAATCTTGAAGAGCATACCGTAGCTCATACTGAATGTCGGCTGTCTATGCGGGCGGCAGATCTTCAGGGCCCGAAGCCTGGGCAAGTCGATGCTGTGAATTTGATGCCAGCCTGGGTTGTGTTTTGAGATTGGAGTTCCTTTCTGTGTACTAGCCCTAACCCTAAACCGGAAAACCAACAGCCCATGCCAGCAAGGATCCTGCTGCTGGAGGTGTAAAGTCGGAACCTTCCTTGTTCGGGACTTCGAATGATGAGCTTGCTGTTTGCTAATGCAGCCACAATTCCAGGGCCATCTCCTAAGCTCGGTGTAGAAAAGCAACAACTTGCACCACACCCAGTACCAGCAAGCAAACAAACCCTTCGCCATACAACGCATTCAGGACAATAATTTGCGATGCAGTCGCCATGCACACCCAGAATGCAGGGCCCTTAACCTTTGAGCGCCTTCAACGATGCATAGACTCTTTTACAAACTGAGCTTTGAGAAGCCTTGATCAGATGGTTAAAGCATGTCGTGCTTTCGGTTGATCCAAGTTTTCTGCATTGTTGTTCAAAGGATCCGATCTATGAAGGTTGTCCAGTCTCTTCAAACCTAGTCCGTAAGCCCAGCAGAAGTTGAAGCTTCGTGCGCTGTCTTGGAAAAACAGAACTTTGGCTAGTTTTAGTTGCGGCATGTTGTGCCTCTGCATTTCACAAGCTTTTGGTGACATTCCCAGAGCTCCGAGAAGTGAAGGGAGGCAGAATCCCTCGTACAAGCTTAGCTTTTGAGAAGGGCCTCCCGGAGCTCAGGAAGCTGCTGACTCGACAACCAAGGAAGCACCAACCCCCCCAAACCTTCAACCCCCAGGCGCAGATAAGCTCCAGATTCTAAACGTCAAGACCCCTACCTGTGAACCTGGAGTCCTGAAGCCAAACTCCTCCAACATTAAACTCCGAGAGCTGAACCTCTGAAACCTTCAACCATTTTGGAGAGGTTCCGCCGGCGCATACAGTGCGCCGCTGCTGCTGCGGCCGTGGCTGTGATGGCTCGGCCTTGGGCGTGCTCGCAGCTGAAGTTCAGAGGAGTAGAGAACCTAGAGGTTAGGGCTTGGGGTTCTGGCTTCCAGGCTTGTTCCTGTTTGGAGAGAGCGCTTTCGATTTGGTCCACGATAAGCATCAAGAGATCAGCCCTTTTGCTTGGTTCAGAATTTCGGGTTGTGGAGCTTGGAGTGGTTTGAGGTCGGGGTCTTTGGGTGAGGGTTTTGGGTTGAGAGTAGATGGGCTAAATCTTTGGGGTTCGGAGTTTTGGGTGTGAGGTGAGCAATGTAGCTGTAATTACACCATAAACATCGACAGGTCTCGATAGTTCCTTCTATTCACTCCCCCAACTCCTTGGAATTACTCTTACTATGACAGATGCTCGGAGATGTATGTTCCGACCCTGCAAAGATACCCTGA